CTGACACACAATACCCATGGGGAAAAAAAATCGATCTTGTGACTTATGAATCGTTTTTCCCAAATTTGAATGAAAATCAATCCAGATCGATTAAATTGATTTTATTAACCCAGCCCTAGATATCGATATCTGATATTATTATTGGTGTTATGGCTGATAACCAATATGAGCAGAGGTTTTGTTGCATGATACTGAGCCAGCATTTGCACTTAGCTTTTTTTTCCAATCTGACTGCATCCTTTTGCTGTTGTTGCAATTCTGAACATTCATCTCATTCAGAAGTTAGTGCTACAACTTCTATTTGTAACTTTAATTTCTTTTAAAATGTTTCTTGACAAAATAATTTTGCTGGTTTTCTCTGAGAAGATGTACTTAATGTGTCCCACAGATAAAGTTTATTTCTACATATCAATTACACTTTTTCATATTGTATATTTTTACACAACCATGGACTGAAAGGCAGTTCACAATGAGCTGACGAACGAGCTAGTGGTTCACCTGAGCTAGGCTAAGACCAAAGAGATCTGCTGCCATCCTGAAACCACTCAAGTTCATGCAAATCATTTTATAAACTTTTACACAATCATCAATTTAGTACTCTTATTTAAACTGCATTCTATAGTTAGACTATCACCGTTTGTTTTGTTCCCACCTTAAATCTGACTGGAGTCTTTCTGAGGATTGCAGATTAATACAAAAGTTGAGGAGTCTCTTCACCAAGTGAACTGCATTCTGACAAATTTAAGAGCCAGGAGAACCTGTTGTTGAGTAATAAGTCCTTATCCTCTGCTGCCTCCCCCTACCTTCAAACGTCTTTGATCTTTAACAGTATGAGCAAGCTTGAGCTTGGGAGCAGTCCTGGAGAAAAACTCATAAAGTCAGCTTTGAGGTCTCCAGTTTTACCTAATAATAAAAAAAGGCCAGCCTGTATTACCTTCAGAGCACAGACCCCTGTAAATCCTGCAGGAATCTCTAATATCTGAGGACGTCACTGCGTGACAGGGCMTTTCAGCCGTTCAAGCCATGCACATGCTGCCGCAGGTACACAGAGACTCCTGCTCTCCGGTGCAGCAGCGCTCCATTCTATTTTTCATGAGCCCAGTCGGTTGCCAGGGTTTTAGTTACCATGGTCATGCTGCAGTGTGATGCAACAAAACCAAGCCAGAAACCCCCTCTGGGTGTTCTGGCGTGATACCAACTCTGGGAGAGCTACAGGACTTATGGGATGGCACACTAACCAGGTGAAGTCTCCGTCCGGTCATCGAGCCAAACGCCTTTAACACCCTTCAACAACCAGTTTCAGATTTAAACTTCTGCATAAAAATCACTAATATAGTTATTTACTGATGTCTCTGACAGGAAATGTCCACTAATACTTGTGTGTATAACTGTGTTTTCCTGTGTGTTTCAACTGGATTCAGAGTAGAGCTGTGCGGTATATGTGATAAGACGGTAGAAACAATATGAAGTTGGTCTACGGTAGAAATTTACCCTCTACTGTCCTGTCGTCAGTTACGTCATCACACCTGTGTCATCAGGGCTGCGAGTGCAGAGACAACTYAACAGGAGGAGTTTGAAATATAATGAAAATAAATGAAGAYATWTAGCGTTTTAAAACASGTATAGAAAGAATAAATCCTCAAAATCCCCCCCTGCCGCTGTAGAAAAGTTACGTGGTGTCGCGGGATGCGGGATCATTTCCTCCCTCCCTCTCGCTGCACGTCGCGCAGAGCGAAGCGTTAACAACCGTAGTTTTTTCACATCCAAGTTGTCGGAGAAAAAAAACTTGTTTTTTTATGTATTGTTACCCACAGAGATGATTAAAAAAAGACGTGGACGTTCATTCAATCATAAATCCATCTTGTAAAGTCGGCACAGCTCTGATGATGAAGATGAGAGCGCAGCAGAGCAGCAGCTGACAAGTTCAGCAGGCAGAAGCTCATTGAATGGCAGGCAAWTATTACATTTATTTGGCTTCACCACACTTACATTCTAGTTATCTGAAATAGTTTTATGACAGGACTATGTACAGCTTAAGCCCCTTAAGGTCCTGTCACATTATAACGTTTTAGTCAACTTATGCCAACTTAATTTTTTTTATGTCTAAATTACTCATTTTACTTGAAGTACTGGTTATAACATCCACTTTATTTTGATAGTGTTGAAATTTTGAGAAATGTTTTTTGTTGTTGAAATCATTTTGCAATTATATAACATTCTTTTGTACTTTAGTTATGTTCATTTGCACTACAGCAAAAATGCTGGGTTTGATTAGGATTACAGTTTTCTTCAAAATAAATGCTCTAAAAAATTACATTATCTTTGCTTTTTATGATCATTTTCTACCGCGATATATACYGTTKCCARGAAYGGATTCAATTTATAKTGTGATAAGAATTTGAGGTCATACCGCCCAGCCCTAAGTCAGAGGACACAGCTTAAACACTCAAAGAAAATGTTCTGAATTCATTAACAAGCCAGAAAACTAAGTATTTTCTGCAAACAAAATGCAGTGTAGAAGCACAGRGCTGAATGATTTTGCTAAAAATTTGTTAAAGAAGCCCATACTGAGCTATCACAGCTAAAACAACCAGAACAAGAGCTAAAAGTTAAAACCTGCAAAACAGCGACAAAAACCTCAATTTAATYAAACAGTAGCAACAAACCAAAATGTACAAAAACCGTGTCCAACAACTACAGTTAGCAGAACAGTAGCTTAAAGCTAAAACCAGCCAAARAGAAGCTAAAAGGCAAACACAGGTATGCTAAAGAATATTGCAAAGTGCCCAAAGAAAATGCAAACGTTACCAACAACAAATGTTATACTATAGCCACAATGTCCTGAATGAGCTGAGGAATGTGATTCCTGAATGACTGAGATAGCTGATGCAATTTACAGAAACCTGCAGAAGAAACTATAAACAGGAAAACAACAGTGTGAGTGCTGACTCWGCCATGACATTTTTATAAGAATGAATTGCAGTATACCTCTGTTTCTGATCAGAAAACAGCCTGGGACAGAAGCAAATACCAAGAAAGGAAAGAAGAGACGACAGGAACAAAAAGTAGCTGAAAACACAGCTGAGCTCTCTTCTGAAAACCTGTTAAATGTCTCTAAAGTGMACTAATTAACCACCACGATAAACAAATTAGCTTATTAGAGCAGGAATAAAAGCCTTCTGGTCAGGACTCAGTGTCCGGTGTTTCAGCGGTCCTACCTGGARTGTTGGCCTCTCCTTCCAGGACCTGCAGCTCCGTGCATTCAGCCAGGGAGTGCTCCAAACAAAGCTGCAAAAAGCGAGCCTGGGTCCGGCTCACCCTCTTCAGCAGGGAGAGCAGAGCCACGGTCTGTTCGCACTCATTCCACCCTTTAAACCAGCTGGCTAACACGCCCACCTGATCGCGAAACATCATGGTCTGCGAGCAGGGATGGAGGRGCGCTGAACGTGGTGGGCAAGGCAGAGGAGGAAACTCAGAGCGGTGTCTCCCAAGCTTTACAAAGAAGGTTAAATTAACAGGCAGGGGGTAGGGATTAGGATATGTGGCAATCAGGAATGATAAAAACAAGTACTGTATATCATTCTTAGCTGGGACTGTGGGACTCTCAGAGTAGTGCAGYAGAACTGTGCCGACTGAGGCAGAAGTTGTAGATTTTCCTTCTGGAGGGGGTTAAAATTGTTTTTTTTCTAGTCGGAGAGTCTCCTTTGCTAAGAATGAGGGAGGGACGGTGGTCGTCTGGAGCTGGGCGTTGGGCAATCGGAGCTGCTTTCGGCTGCCAAGTCGAGACTAATATTTGATGAGTCAGCTCTCTTCCAGCTCAGGCTGTGTCACATCAGCTCCAACCTCTGGCATTTTTTTTTTCTTCTTCAGGGAATCCCTCGTAGACCTGCGAGAAGGTTGTCAGACTTTAGAAGAAATAAAGCATCAC